AGCTGGGCATGGTGGCAAGTGCCTGCAGTCCTAGCTAATTGGGAGGCTGAGGTGGGAGGATCGCTTGAACCTGAGAGGCAGAGGTTGCAGTGAGCCGAGATCCCACCCAGGTGACACAGTGAGACACTGTCTCAAAAAGAAAAAAAAAAAAAAAGGATAAGCTTGGTTTGAGGGACTGAGATGCTCCCCGATGAAGAAAGAACATGAGGTCTGGCCCCACGGATTCATGGTATATACTTTGCTTTTCTTGAGACCTTGTTGTTTACTCCCTGTTTATTGGAATTATTACTGAGACATAACTCACGTACCATAAAATTTACTCTTTTTAAAAGTACAATTCAGTGGCTTTTAGTATCTTCACAGGTTCCGCAGCTACCACTACTTTCTTTCCTAGCACATTTTCATCCCCTAACTGGAAGCCTCGTATTCATCAGCACTCACTTTCCAGCCTTCTTTTCCTCTAGCCCCTGGCAACCACTAATCTACTTTCTGTTTTTCTGTTTGTTTTTTGTTTTTGAGATGGAGTTTCACTCTTGTTGCTCAGGCTGAGTGCAGTGCCGCGATCTCAGCCTACCGCAACCTCCACCTCCTGGGTTCAAACGATTCCCCTGCCTCAGCCTCCAGAGTAGCTGGGATTACAGGTGTGCGCCATCACACCTGGCTAATTTTTGTATTTTTAGTAGAGACAGGGTTTCTCCATGTTGGTCAGGCTGGTCTTGATCTCCCGACCTCAGGTGATCCACCTACCTCAGCCTCCTGAAGTGCTGGGATTACAGGTGTGAGCCACTGCACGTGGCCTCCACTTTCAATTTCCATGGATTTGCCTATTCCAGACATAACCTATACACAGAATCATACAGTAAGTACCCTCTCGTGTCTGGCTTCTCTCACTCAGCACGGTGTTTTCAAGGATTATCCATGGATACCCAAGGATTATCCAAGGCAGCATGTGTCAGTGCTGCCTTCCTGTTGTGACTGAACCATATTCCATTGTGTGGATGGACCGCATTGTATTTATCTGCTCATTAGTTGATGGACATTTAGGTTGTTTCCACTTTTTGGCTATTATGAATGCTGCTATGAACACTATGTTTTCATCAGAGATTTATAATTTTAAATCTTATATTTATGTCTTTGATCCATTTTGAATTAATTTTCTTTTTTTTTTTCTTTTTTAAGACGGGGTTTCACCATGTTGGCCAGGCTGGTCTCGAACTTCTGACCTTAAGCAATCCACCGCCTTAGCCTCCCAGAGTGCTGGGATTATAGGCGTGAGCCACTGCGCCTGGCCTGAATTAATTTTCTTTCTCTTTCTTTCCTTATTTATTTTTATTTATTTATTTATTTATTTATTTTGGAGACGAAGTCTCGCTCTGTCACCCAGGCTGGAGTGCAGTAGCACGATCTCAGCTCATTGCAGCTGCCACCTGCTGGGTTTGAGCAATTTTTCTGCCTCAGCCTCCCAAGTAGCTGGGATTACAGGCATGACCCACCACACCTGGCTAATTTTTGTATTTTTAGTAGAGACAGGGTTTCACCATATTGGTCAGGCTGGTCTCAAACTATCAACCTCAAGTGATCCACCCACCTCAGCCTCCCAAAGTGCTGGGATTACAGGTGTGAGCCACTGCACCCAGCCTTCTTACTTATTTTTGAGACAGGGTCTCACTCTGTCACCCAGGCTCACTGCATCCTTGATCCCCTAAACTCAAGTGATCCTCCTGTCTCACCTTCCCAAGTAGCTGGGATAACAGGCATGCTGTTGCATTTTTAAAGTATTTGTGGAGATGGGGGGTCTCTCTATGTTGTCCAGGCTGGTCTCAAACTGCTGGGTTCAAGCAATACTCCAAGTTAATCTCCCAAAATGCTGGGATTATAGGAATGGGCCACTGTGTCTGGTGAATAAAGTTGTTGTTGTTTTTTTTTTAAAGAAATAAACCAGGCTGGGCACTGTGGCTCAAGCCTGTAATCCCAGCACTTTGGGAGGCCAAGGTGGGTGGATCGCAAGGTCAGGAGATCAAGGCCATCCTAACCAACATGGTGAAACTCATCTGTATTAAAAAATACAAAAAATTAGTCAGGCATGGTGACACACACCTATAGTCCCAGCTACTCAGGAGGCTGAGACAGGAGAATTGCTTGAACCAGGGAGACAGAGGTTGCAGTGAGCCAAGATCACGCCATTGCACTCCAGTCTGGGCAACAGAGTGAGTCTCCGTCTCGGAAAAAAAAAAAAAAAAAAAGATAAACCAAGGGCAACAGTGTAAACAAAATCACTTTCTTTTCCTAGCCTTTTCTTGGCTTCCCAAAGTGCTAGGATTACAGGCTTGAGCCACAGCGCCCAGCTGATTTATTTTTTAGGATCAGTTTCTTTGGTTGGGCCTAATGATGTTACAACTAGTAATTTATGAAAACTTGCATTTCTGTTTTTCTTACCCATCCCCATTCCAAAACACAAGCAAACCATCTAGAATGAGGATTTGTAAGGTTGAGACGAACTCATTACTATAGGGTAAGTATGAAAAGGGGCTGGAAATGTGTTTTGATTGTTGCCATGACTTTTTTCTTCTTTTCTGTTTTTTTTTGAGATAGAGTCTCACTCTGTCGCCCAGGCTGGAGTGCAGTGGAGCCATTTCAGCTCACTGCAACCTCTGCCTCCCTTCAGGCGATTCTCCTGCCTCAGCTTCCTGAGGAGCTGGGATTACAGGTACCTGCCACAACGCCCAGCTAAGTTTTTCGTATTTTGAGTAGAGATGGGGTTACATCATGTTGGCCAAGCTGGTCTGGAACTCCTGATCTCAAGTGATCCACCTGCCTCGGCCTCCCAAAGTGCTGGGATTACAGGCGTGAGTCACCGTGCCCAGCCATGTTTTGATTCTTAAGGAAATGATTTTTTTAAGAACCCTTCCAATGAGGATTTAGCAAGGGAGTGTTCCTCTTCTACAGAGAATTTGAGCTTTCCCAATTGCACCAAGCTCCATCTGGGCAGAGACCTCACCTGCCTGTTCACTCCATATCCCTAGCATCGAGAAAATTGCCAAGCGAAAAACAGGCACTCAGTAAATTTCTGTCAAATGAATGAATAAAATACCACCACCTTTTCCTGGGACCATTTTGGACCAAGGCATGCATGGGCATCTCTGTTCCTTCCTCTAACTTAACAATTCCATCTCTTAGAGGCAGATGCTGTTTTCTGCAAATTTTATTATTCACCTCTCTATATTTGGAAAAACAAGTTGGTGTAGCTTAGGAATCTCACATCCAGGAAATGAACTAAAAATGTTGTATCAAAGATTATACAGAGGATCCACAAAGTAAGAAGCAAGCAGATGAGAGCAGTTAGAGACATCATGCCATACTTTCCAGAAGAAATGGTCCATGGATTAAAAATTATCACGATGGGCCAGGCATGGTGGCTCACACCTGTAATCCTAGCACTTTGGGGGGCTGGGGGGGGGTGGGTCACCTGAGGTCGGGAGTTCAAGACCAACCTGACCAACATCTCTAGAGATGGAGAAACCCCATCTCTACGAAAAATATAAAATTAGCCTAGTGGTGGCACATGCCTGTAATCCCAGCTACTCGAGAGACTGAGGCAGGAGAATCGCTTGAACCCAGGAGGCAGAGGTTGCAGTGAGCCAAGATGGCGCCATTGCACTCCAGCCTGGGCAACAAGAGCGAGACTGTCTCAAAAAAAAAAAAAAAAAAGAAAGAAAAAAAAATCATTATGAGTCTGCAGTAACATAGAAACCAAATAGTGTGAATGAGAAAATGAAAAGCACAACCATTGACTGTGATTACAAACCGTAACTATACCGATTACCTGACAGAATTTATGCTGCATGAAGGCAGGATATTTTGCTTGTTCTCTTCACTGGATAGTATCTGGCATATGGAATGTGCTTATTAATATTTTCTGAATGTATTAGGGAAAGTAAATATAACATTCACCTATAAAAACATCTCTGTTGTGGTGGCTCACTCCTGTAATCCCAACACTTTGGGAGCCCAAGGCAGGCGGATCATGTGAGGTCAGGAGCTGGAGACCAGCCTGGCCAACATGGTGAAAACCCAGCTCTAAAACACAAAAGTTATCTGGAAGTGGTGGCAGGTGCCTATAATCCCAGCTACTCGGGAGGCTGAGGCAGGAGAATCACTTGAACCTGGGAGGCAGCGGTTGCAGTCAGCCGAGATCACGCCTCTGCACTCCAGCCTGGGCAAGAGTGAAACTCTATCTCCAAAGAGAGAGAGAGAGAGAGAGAGAAAAGAAAACATATCTGAAGGGAATGAACAAATATCCACGCGGAAAATTGTGTTTTTGAAGTGGAATGGTGGCTGTTTCCCCCACTTTCCCTCTATTTTCCAATTCTCCCCTGAAGTTGTGATACCATTTTCTCAGTGGAAAGGATGACCACAGAATCGCCTCCCCCGGGCTGCAACTAAGGAAGCATTTGGATTGCAGTGAGAATGCGGCCAGGCTTCAAATCCAGGAGGGGCATCTTACAGGGTGTGTGGCTCTCACCCAGAGCTCACGCGACATCTGATATTTAGGCTGAGGGCAGCACGACCCCAGCTCCAGCTGCACGCGTTTAGGAGCCTGTAGTCCTGAGCGATGGCTGCTCCAGATAACCCCTGAGTCCTCTACGGAAGTCCCTGGCACCTAAAAGGACCCCTAAGGGGGGTTGCTCGTTACCCCTCACTTGAACTCGGCCCCAAATGGGAGGTCACTCTCTCCTAGCGGACTCCCTCTTCCCCGAAACAGTCTCTCGTTCTCCCTGGCCCTCCTGAGAAGGTCATTACTCCCCAACCCGCCTTTTTTGTTGTTTTTTGGTTTCTGGTTTTTTGAAGCAGGGTCTCGCTTCGTCTCCCAGACTGGAGTGCAGTGGCGAGATCACAGCTCAAGGCAGCCTCGACCTTCTGGGCTCAAACGATTCTCTCACCTCAGCCTCCCCAGTAGCTGGGACCACAGGCGACCGCCACTACGCCCGGTTTCGTGAGTATTTTTGATAGAGATGGGATCTCGCTATGTTGTCCAGGCTGGTCTCTAAATCAAGGGACCCTCTCACTTCGGCCTCCGAAAGCGCTGGGATGACAGGTGTGAGCCACCGCGCCAGGCCCCTCGCCCGCCTTTGGAAGAAGTCATTTGTCCCGAAGGGCGAGGCCACTCCCTCCCCACGAGTTCCAGGCTCCCTGGAGGGTCCAGGTTCCCGGCAGGGAGGTGGCGCCCTCCCCGGGCCCCGGGCCCCGGGCCCCGGGCCCAGACCGCCCGCGCCGCCTCCTTCCGGGCCCTCCCCCGCGATGACGGCACCGCAGGCCGGCCGGGCTGGGCGGGGCTCCGAGCGGGGACCGAGACCCGGACGGGCTCTGGGACGGGGAGCGGGCGGCGCGGCCATGGCGGGCTGCTGCGCCGCGCTGGCGGCCTTCCTGTTCGAGTACGACACGCCGCGCATCGTGCTCATCCGCAGCCGCAAAGTGGGACTCATGAACCGCGCCGTGCAGCTGCTCATCCTGGCCTACGTCATCGGGTGAGCGCGGCCGCGCGGGGTCGGCCGGGGTCGCGGGGGCGTCGCGCGGGGTCGGACGGGAGCTGCCTTCGGCTCCGCGTCCTGCGGCGGCTCATCCCGGCCTCGGTCACCTGGGCGAGTATGGGGGCGGCAAGCCGAGGCGGTGACACCTTCCCCGGGCTCCAGCCGCCGCGACGGGGTCCCGGGGGCAGGAGGCTGCTTGCTGCTGTTTTGAAGCCACAGTCTGGGCCGGGCGCGGTGGCGCACGCCTGTAATCCCAGCACTTTGGGAGGCCTAGGCGGGCCCATCGTCCGAGCCCAGGAGTTCGAAACCAGTCTGGGCAACATCGTGGGACCCCGTCTCTGCAAAAAATTAAAAATCGGGCCGTGGTGGCGCGCGCCTGGGGTCCCAGCTACTCAGGAGGCTAAGGTGGGAGGATCGCTTGAGCCCAGGAGGCTGAGGCTGCAGTGAGCTGTAATCACAGCACTACGCTGGAGCCTGGGAAACAGTGTGAGAGCCGTCTCTTTACAAAATAAATAAAGGCAAAGCCTGGCTAAGCCTTTACCCTCTCCTGCTTGACAATGCATAGTGCCCCTTGGCTGTGGGGGTTTTGCCCTGAACGTCTCAATCTTCTCTCTTCACTTCCCATCCTGCTGATTTGCTGACAAAACCAAAGATTGGAATTTCCGCTTGGTTCCTTCCCAGTCGGCCTTGCCCTTGGGTACGAATGACTTCTGTTCATTTCTTTTGATCACTGTACGATCAAACGAAATATAGCGAGGTCAGACTTCAAGAGTATTTAAAGTTCCCGTCCTTTGTTTTGTAAGATTGTGGGGCTTTTTATGGTACCTGCTCTAGCCCAGTCAGTCATTGCCCCCTTAGGCTAGAGATGCCCTACCGCCTCAGGCCTCGCCGAATGTGCCATTGTACTTGAAGGCACCTGTTACTCTTTTTTTTTTTTTTTTGAGATAGAGTTTCTCTCACCCAGGGTGGAGTGCAGTGCCATGATCTCCACCTCCCAAGTTCAAGCGATTCTCCTGTCTCTACCTCCAGAGTAGCTGGGATTACAGCGCCTGCCACCATGCTCGGCTAATTTTTGTATTTTTTAGTAGGGACAGGGTTTCACCATGTTGGCCAGTCTGATCCTAAACTCCTGACCTCAGGTAATCCACCTGCCTCAGCCTCCCGAAGTGCTGGGATTACAGGCGTGAGTCACTGTGCCCGGCCAGCATCTGTTACTTTTGAAGACAACCCAAGAGAGGAGAAGATGGGATTTACCTTGTCACCTAGGGCCACTTTAAAGGCTCACCTGGGGTGTTCCAGTGTGTACAGCTGCTGGGCTGACACGTATTGCTTAGTGCAGTGGCCCCCAAACTGCACATTGGAACCACCTGGGAATCTTTGGCACCCATCCCCAGATCTTTTTTTTTTTTTTT